CAACCGGCTGGGGAATTCTAGGAGTTGTAGTCCACAAGTCTTCAGGGGTCACCAAATGTGGCAACTTTAAGACTCGGGGACTTCAACTCCCAGAGGTCCTCAGCCAGTTGGGGAATTCTAGGAGTTGTAGTCCACAAGTCTTCAGGGATGCCCAGGAGAATGGAGCTGGAAAGCAGGTTAGTGAGATGGGGAGAGAATGGGGATTTTACAGTATCCTTCCCCTGCCACACCCACCAAGCATGCCACGCCCATCAAGGATGCCACACCCGCCAAGCCACGCCCACAGAACCGGTAGTAAAAAAATTTGAATCCCACCACTGCTTCTGATAAGGAAAGTCAATGGGGAAGCCAGATTCACTTAACAACTGTGTTACTAACTTAACAACTGCAGTGATTCACTTAACAATCGCGACAAAAAAAACCTTGTAAAATGGAACAAAACTCACTTGGCAAAGGTTTCACTGAACAACATAAATTTTGGGCTCAATTCTGGTCGTAAGTTGAGGACTCTCCGTACACAATTCCCAATGCTTGTTCGGGTAGTCCTCGACTTAAGCCATTCGTTTAGTGGCCATTCAAAGTTACAACAGCACTGAAAAGAAATGATTTATGACCTTTTTTTTTTTTTTCAAACAAACCACCTTCAGCATCCCGATGGCCACGTGATCAAAATCTGAATGCTTGGCAACTGACTCGTATTTATGATGGTTTGCAGTGTCCCGGCTTTGTGTGATCCCCTTTTGCGGCCTTCTGACAAGCAAAGTCAACGGGGAAGCCAGATTCACTTAATAGCCATGTTACTCACTTAACAACCGCAGGGATTCACTTAGCAACCGTGGCAAGAAGGCTTGTAAAATGGGTCAAAACTCACGTAAGAACTGCCTTGCTTTGCAAGGTGTTTTGGGCTGAAGCCCTGAATTAAGTGTTTATGGTGGGGTCTTAAAAAGGGAGCAATTGTCATCGTAAGTCAAGGACTACCTGTGAACTCTTTTATAAAATATTGGACAACCAGCTAACCATGAGCTGGAAGTGTGGAGTAGCAGCCAAAACGGCCAATGCAATCCTAAATTGCATCAAAAGAGGGATATAAATCAAGATCAAGTGAGATACTAATACCACTCTATAAAGCCTTAGTAAGACCATACCTAGAGTACTGCATCCAGTTTTGGTTACCACATTATAAAAAAGATGTTGAGACTTTAGAAAGAGTGCAGAGAAGAGCAACCAGGATGATTAGGGGACTGGAAACTAAAACATATGAAGAACGGTTATAGGAACTGGGCTTGGCTAGTCCAGTAAAGAGAAGGACCAGGGGAGACATGATAGTAATCTTCCAATATTTGAGGGGCTGCCACAGAGAGGAAGGGGGTCAAGCTATTTTCCAAAGCACCCAAAGGCCAGAGAAGGAACAATGGATGGAAACTGAATAAGGAGAGATTCAACCTGGAAATAAGGAGAAACTTTCTGACAGTGAGAACAATCAACCAATGGAACAGAAGTTGCCTTCGGGAGTTATGGAAGCTTCATCGCTGCAGCCTTTCAAGAAGAGACTGGACTGCCATCTGTCAGAAATGGTGTAGGCTCTCCTGCTTTGGCAGGGGTTGGACTAAATGACCTACAAGGTCCCTTCCAATTCTTAATCTGTTAAATTGTCCTTGCATTTTTTAAAAAAGTTAGAAAAGGATTGCGGAAGGCAGAGGAGGCTTGGCGGGGATAGAAAAGGCTATCCGTGTTGTCTTTTTTTGATGCTGGCTAACAAAAGCTGAGCCGGGACACACTGCTGCCAAGGCAAATTCCTGTCCAGAGAAATAAATGGCTTTATTCTTTTCAAATCCACCCCTATGCTGGTTTACATTCATTGATACGGGTGGTGGGCAGAGGGACTCCGTGGCTTTTGATTTCAGGCAGCGTTTAAGGTTGCCAAGAAATAATTTCCTCTCCCCCCAATGGAATCCTGGAGGAAAATAAACGTTTTGTTAAAAACAAAGGATTCTCCAAACGGGCCTCGTGTGTATTTGGGATTGTCAAAATATTTAGATCTGAGGCTAGGATATTGTCTGTGATACGAGGGAGGGGAGGAGGGAGAGTCGCCTTGCAATCCAGCCGCCCCCAACGGAATAAAGTTATTTTCAATAATGGCCACTTTGTGCAAAACATATTTATATCTATCTGTCTTTGACTTGCTGTAATTTAGGGGCAAATGGCATGGAAACAGTTTCCTCTCTGCCTGCACTTGGAGACTTTAAGCTCTTTGAAATGTCTTTGAATATTATTAGTAGCTTGGGTTGGTAGTATGGAGTCATTGTCCTTGGTTTTAAGTACCGTCTGTGCAGTGTAAATTAGTGATTAGTGTGAAAAAAATAGTCATATGTCACTTTTTCAGTGCCATTTTGAACTGTCACTCAGTAAATTGTTGTAAGTCAAAGGCTATTTGTATACACCCTTCCACATGGGTGTGTCACACACCTTATTGATTTCTGTATTTATTGCACTGCCGTTCTCCTGCAGTGCAAATCAACTTGAAATTTGCAACCGTTTTAGTTTTCGAAAGAGTTGTTAGATGCCGTAAGTGTGGGCTACCTCGGAATAGATGTGATTTGCCGTGAATGAGGGGCAGTCTTCTTTCCTTCTTTTGATGTTTATGCTTCCTTGCAAGTATGAATATTGATTGACAGCATCAATCACCTTTGGCCCAACGGAGATCTCGAAAGTGAAGGAGGGATGCTTAAAAATAATTCCTTTAAAGCAGGGGTCTCCAACCTTGGCAACTTTAAGACTTTTGGACTTCAACTCCCAGAATTCCTCAGCCAGCAAAGCTGGGAGTTGAAGTCCACGAGTCTCAACGTTGCTTCTCTGGCTGAGGAATTCTGGGAGTTGAAGTCCACGAATCTCAAAGTTGCTTCACTGGCTGAGGAATTCTGGGAGTTGAAGTCCACCAGTCTTAAAGTTGC